CCTGTAAGTGTTTGTGTCTACGTCTCTGTAACAATGGCAAAACAGTTTCATATGACAACAAAACTAGAGAAACTCACCTCCGGGGTTCAAACCATAAGCAACGTTTCTTCAGGGAAGATATGCCATGAAACGTGCTAGAGTAGCAGGAAGAGCAAGATATGATGTACTGAAGGATCTTATTTCGTACACCTTCTTTCTTCTGAAGGCGTTACAGCTTTGGGTAGACTTGAGCAAGAAGCTGAAACACAATCTATGCGTTGATGAAAGGGACAATATTGCTGAGAGAGAGCAGATTCCAAGCCTACCAATGCCTTCACCCGAGAATGTATCCAATCTGCTCATCAAGCTATTCTGATCCAAGTAGCCAACAAAAGCTTCTCGGTTTACTCGACCAAGTGGTACGTATGTATATCCCAAGGCGAGAGAGTGAACAACGACGATAGAAAGTGTGGCTTTCAGATTTTCAGTGGCTCAAAAGTAATTCCTAATTTGTGGGTTGTGGACACGCTAACAGCATGTGTCCCATTCCACTAGGCCCAACAACGTCTATGGTCTTTCCTTGGCTGTTTTAGCTATTTGCACTAACGCCAAACTATTCACGTGCTGCTAAGCAAAACGCTACTCTTTCTCTTTTCTAAGCATAATATCAGTGAGCTTTTTGTGGTAATAGTACTACCAGCTACCAGCCAGCCTCCTACATACATACAATCGTCATTTTCATTTACATGTCGCAACAACTTGCAACTGCGACCTATGACCAAATTGTTATTCGTTTTGTTGTGTTAAGTTTTTACGATTTGCTGTATGCGACTACCTTACGATATGCAACCAAATGTTATTTGTTTTGTTATCGCAAGTTATAGAAACGAACAACAATCAGCGACACATAAACGAATATGGCCAATTTATCAAAAACCCACTAATGCCATGAACTAATGGATATCAAGAATGCAATAAAGTGTGTATTAACTCAAATCATATTCACCAAATAAAAGCACTAATGCAACTATTTGAAATATGACCGGTTTTGGGTCAAGGCTGATGAAATATTCATTTATGTTTTTTAAAATTTTTGAAAAAAATTACATGCACATATACCTCTAAATTTGTAAAAAAAAAAAAAAAATCTTCAAATCAATGACTTTTTTTAAAAACTAATACCTTTATTAAATCATCTAAGACTCCCAATATTTTAGAGCTCGCCCTGAAATATGATAAATGACAAAAGATCTCATTCTAAAGTACTCTTATATAATTAATTGTATTTGAAATGGTGTATCAAATATACCATGTCATTTAGTCATTTTAAAGACATTGATAGAAACTGAAGCAAATCCTAGCCAAGTGTTTTTTTTTTCTAACGTCTGCATCTTCTTATTAATGTAATCGAAAGTTTACATAAAATTCATGTAGAAGATTAGAGATTGAAACTGGAACATAGTTGTAAAAACAATAAGAAGACATTGCTGAATTTCGTGTTCTTGCTAATACATCAGCAGCTCTATTGGCTTCCCGATTTACCCACTGAAATGATATCTCTTGAAACTTTGTTGCCCACCAACGTATTTCCCTTTTCCAATTATAAAAAGAAAAATGAAGAGCCTTATCATTGAGGATGTCGATAGCTTTTTTTACAATCGGACTCAATGATGATCTTTTTATAGCCAAATCTCCAAGATGTTTGTACTACCATGAGCAAAGCTTGTACTCACTCTCCAAAGGCGATGAAACTATAAATCCCTGCGCCTGAACTGCTCCACAATAAACTCCTTTAGAATCTCGATATATCCATCCCGCTGAGGCTCTTTCTTGGTCATTACGGAAAGATGCATCCACATTACATTTAATAAGTTGCTCTGGAGGGGCTTTCCATTTAGCATTGCGTGATCTACAAGAAGGCACTATGGCATATTGGGACGTCTGATGTTCATTATTTTCAATATTCCTCCACTCTCTTGCATCACTTCTAGCATTATTCACAACATTCTTCCACTGAATGTGTCGATGCTAAAATATTAATAAGTTCCTGCTCTTCCAAATCCTCCAAAGAATCCCTATAGGGAGATCTTGAAAGTTGTTAAACATGGCTGCAGTAGAAACTTGTAAACATGTTTCTATTTTTGCTTCAAATCTTGCAGTTGAACTATCAATAATCGCATTAACCACACCTGAGTCCCTCCATATCTTTTTAGCATACGGACATGTAAAGAAAAGATGATCCTCTGTTTCTTCCTTCTACCAATATCTCTTACACATTGTGTCTGTCGTTACATGTCGTCTTCTCAAATTATTCCCCGTAGCAATACTTCTCGATGAGATTCTCCACATAAAATGTTTCAACTTTGTGGGTACCGTAGTCTTCCATATTTTTTGTTTCAAGTCGACACTTCCATAAGTTGGGGGTATGAAGTTGTTGTCTGGGAGATGAGATGCTAACCAGTAACCTGATTTAACCGTATAAAGGCCATTTTCATTATAATGCCAACCCATTAGGTCTTGAGATCCGTAAAGCCAAGATCATATCTACATCTTCCCCAACCACATCATCTCTAAGCTTAGCAACATTCCTTCCTGTTCTGGTATCGTTAAAATAGTCACAGACATTGGTTGAATTATTAATCTCATGTCTTGGTCGGGGAGGTCTTGGAGTATGAACATTTAGCCATGAGTCTGTCCACATCTTTATTGTCGTACCATTTCCAATGATATATCTCATACCCTTAACTATCAGCTCCTTTCCAAAGAGGATGGATTTCCACGCATAGGATGCTTTCCTCTTAAGAGTAGCTTGTAGTATATCCCCAACAGGAAAATATCATGCTCTTAAAACTCTTGACATCAAGATGTGCGGGTTTTGTAGAATTCTCCAAACCATTTTCCCAAGAAGCGCCTGACTGAATAACTCTAAGTCACGGAAACCCAAACCACCTTCCTTTTTGGTATGCATACTCTTTTCCAAGTATACCAGTGCATCCTCTTGGACTCTCCAGATCCCCACCAAAACCTTGCCAAGATAGTGTTGATCTCCTCACATATTTCCTTAGGAAGTCGAAAGACATATTTCCTTAAGTAACAACTCTTTTCCTCCTTGTGTAAGGTGTCTCTGTTTCCATCCTTGTACCACCTTCTTGACCTTGTCAACAATGTATGCAAACATCTCTCCCTTTTTCGTTTTAAATTGCTCAGGCAAACCAAGGTATTTCCCAATGCCACCTTCATTATGAATACCAAGTACATTCCGCATTCTTGTCTTAACTTCTGCTCGCACTTTGCTTCCAAAAGTGATTGTAGACTTGTTAAGATTGATTGCTTAGCCTGAGACTGCTTCATATTTGGTGAAAATACGCTTCAGAGTTCTAGCCTATTTCAAATTAGCTAAGGAAAAGAATAAAGAATCATCTGCAAAGAGCAAATGATTAACTGCTGGTGCTTGTAATAATATCTTGACGCCAAGAAGAGAACGATCATTCATGGCTTGTGTACAAAGGTGAGACAACACTTCAGCACAAAGAATAAAAAGATAAGGAGATAACAGATCTCCTTGTCTTAATCCTCTGTTTGGGGTGATATAACCTTCTAGTGTTCCATTTATCAAAACTGAATATGTAACTGAGGAGATACAAGCCATGACCCACTGAATCCACCTATCTCCAAATCCCATATACTGCATTGTTTCTTTGAGAAATCTCCATTCAAGCTGATCATAATTTTTTGTGATATCAGTTTTTACCGCCATGTAGGAGTTAGATTGAATCCTAGCCAAGTGTTTAAAAACGAAAAAACTGAAGCAAATTTTTTTTTTCTGGAAAATTCATTGCTTGTCAATTTTTTGTTTTTTTTTTTGCATTTGCTGGCTTGTTGAGCACACATGTTTTGTGCGCATTCTTCGAAATTCGACATTTTCTGGAAAAGATAAAAAACAAAAAAAAGACAAGAAAATACAAACTGTCAACGAAGATTTGTATTGGTTGATTTAAAATTCAAAATCTTTTTTTTGTTCAAACTCAAATGTTGATTTCTGGGTTCGAACATTCCTCCTTATTCTCCAATCACAGGACGAAATGAAGATGCAAGTGGAGCTTGTAGATGTCAATGGTCTTCCGTGACTAACTAGGCGACGAAGTCACTGATGCTGGAGGCATTAGTCGTTACTACATAAGGCATGCGGAGTGGTGGGTTACCATGTGGATGCAGGATATGCTGAGATGGAGAAGAATAAACTGGAGGTTTATGTCTTGACGTAGTCGTTGAAGTAGTTGCTGATGCAGTGTGTGTCAGAGAGTGAACCAGGAGGCATGCGGAGTGGTAGAGACCATGTGGATGCAAGATGCTGAGCTGGCGTGGAATAAACTTGAGGAGCAAGTTTATACCGTGGAGAAAAGGCAAGAGATAAACTTGGAGAGCAAGTTTATGCCTTAAGGAATAAGTACAAATCCAAGAAAAGGAAAGTGTACTTATTAATATGGAAGTTGTCCATATATCCATGTTGCCTTGGAGACTAGGGTTTCAGGAACGTGGAGATCACTATAAAAGAGTTATGGAGTCGTGTGTATTCCATAAGACACTTGGGGCTTTTATTATAGAGGAAGGGTGAAAATCCCTTAGGGTGTTCTTGGGTCGTGCTGAAGCAGATGCTGAAGCATACGACGATGGAGAGACAAGTTTGGGTAGATTAGGAATCTTTCAGTAGCAGCTGTTAGGGTGTTAACAGGCTGTGTAAAGCTGATAAGCAAGTCTTGTAATAGATTGTTTAAAGATGATTTCTAATAAAGCATAGTGTTGCTTGTATCTATTTTGTCTCTTGGTTTATCTTCTGCAGTACTATATTGTGGTGTCATCTTTGCACTTACACGAAACACCGGCGAGAGTATAATGGATGCCCCCACGGAGACATTCGTGGCTTTAGAGACTAATGAAACGACGACATCAATGAGAGGCTGTGGACTCGCTACCCTGACGTGGGTGGGTGTGTAGACAAGGAGGAGCTTCGTCAGAGACTCATGATGCCTGAGTACATTCGTCTCGCCATGCGCGACTGTATCAAACGTAAAGATACAACCGCCATTCCCCACCATTTGCTTCTTCCCGGTGGCGCCGTGGCTGATATGGCTCCTCACGCGCCGATGGTTGTGTTTATAAACCCCAAGAGTGGTGGTCGTCATGGTCCTGTGCTTAAAGAGAGGCTTCAACAGTTGATGAGTGAAGAACAGGTTTTGTTTTGGTTTGGTTTGCTCTCTTTAAGTGTGCTTCTTGTTTGATTTGTAGTTTCAGCTTTTGTAATGAATCTCTGTTTCTGGTTAAGGCAAAACAAAAGGAATCAAGCTTTTGTTGTTGGGTTTGTGTTTAGATAGTGAATGCAATTGGTAGGAATCTAAGGATTGGTTCAGTGTGTCGTAGGGATGAGTTTAGTGTTCTGTCTTGATCAGATCTTTTCGTATTAGCTTCTCTGGTTTAAGTATCTAGTTTATGTATTCATGCCTAGTTGATTTGAAATGTATCTTATATCTACTTTATGGATTGGCTCAGTGTGCAGTAGAGATGAGTTTAATGTTCTGTTTCACTCTTCATATGATTTTTTGTTTTGTATCAATTGGTTGAAGTATTAAATTCTCTGGTTTATAAACTCATGCGTAGTTGATGTTTGAATCTAGTGGATAGGGAAGGGAAAGTTGGATTTTTTTTTTTGTTTATTGTTGGAATGATGAGTTGACTTTAGAGATGGCTCTATTCTGTATAAAAACAGGTGTTTGATCTGACGGAAGTGAAGCCAAATGAGTTTGTTCGATATGGCTTGGCGTGTTTGGAGAAAGTTGCAGCGGAAGGAGATGAGTGTGCAAAAGAATGAGCAAGGTTGAGGATTATGGTGAGTACTACAAGCAATATTCATCCAATCTCATGCAATTATCTTACATTTTTAGCAACTAGAGTGTGGTTGGATAGGTTGCGGGAGGTGATGGTACTGTTGGTTGGGTTCTTGGATGTCTTGGAGAGCTTAACAAAGAAGGGAAGTTACCAATCCCTCCTGTTGGCGTCATCCCTCTTGGTACAGGAAATGATCTCTCAAGGAGTTTTGGTTGGGTGAGAGTGAATCTTTCTTCTCTCTTACCTTGTCACGACAAGTCTCCCTAATACATTGTTTTTTTTCTCTTTACTTCAGGGTGGTTCGTTCCCTTTTGCGTGGAGAATTGCTGTTAAAAGAACGCTCCATCGCGCAAGTATGGGTCCAGTTGCTCGACTTGATAGGTAGAAACAGATTAGCCTTTTGTTAAGTTAAAAACCTGTGTTCACTTCTCTGGTTAGTATGGTGTTGCAGCTGGAAGATTCTAGTGTCAATGCCATCTGGAGAAGTGGTGAATTCTCCTTATTCTTTAAAACCAGCTGACGAAAACGAACTTGACGAGGTTAGGCTTGATTCTTCTCCTCATCATGGCTCATTCTTGTGGTTTTCTGGGCTTGGTAGACGCGCCTCTGGTGGCAAAGTCCTATGAAGGAGTGTTCTACAATTACTTAAGCATAGGTTTGATGAATGAGCTTATTCTCTGTTCTATATCCTAACACAAAATTAATATTTTGGACCTGTGTTTTTTTTTTTTTTTTGTATCTTGTCGGGTTTATATAGGTATGGATGCTCAAGTTGCATACGGCTTCCATAATCTTCGCAACACTAAACCATATCTTGCTCAAGGCCCTATCTCAAACAAGGTTTTTTTTTTATTTATCCTCAACCAAACTGTTGAATCAACAAAAAACAACATTAACCACGCAATGTTTGCTTTTGCAGCTTATTTATTCTGGCTTTAGTTGCACTCAGGGTTGGTTTTGCACCCCCTGTGTCAGTGATCCTGGCTTAAGGTTCGCTATGTTCAAGTTAATCTCTGCCTAGCTTCTTGTTGTGTTACTGAAACTGTTTTTTTTTTGGGTGCTTTTTGAATTTGCAGGGGACTTAGGAACATACTGAAGATCCACATCAAGAAGGTTAATTTCTCTGAGTGGGAAGAGATAGCAGTCCCAAAAAAGTAAAGAAAAAAAAGAAACTGCTATCCTTTTACCATCTATGATCCTAATGCTTAACCTGATGCATAGGTTTCTCTTGTAGTGTGAGATCAGTTGTGGCATTGAATCTTGAAAGCTATGGAAGTGGAAGTCATCCCTGGGGTAATCTAAGACCGGACTATCTAGAGAAGGTATTCTTTCTTCTACTGTTTTCATTTCATCATCATTTGAACTCAAATCTCTTATGTTAACCCTTTTTTTTGCTACAGAGAGGATTTGTGGAGGCTCATTGTGATGATGGTTTGATAGAAATCTTTGCTTTCAAGCACGGGTGGCATGCCTCATTTGTCATGACTGAACTCATCTCAGCCAAGCACATAGCTCAGGTAACTTAAATACGCACACACATAGCTATAGTGTTTTACTAACGAGCTTCTGTTTTTTTTTGGTAATCAATTCAAGGCTGCTGCGGTTAGATTTGAGCTAAGAGGAGGTGATTGGAAAGATGCGTTCTTGCAAATGGATGGAGAGCCATGGAAGCAGCCGATGAGCACTGATTACTCAACGTTTGTGGAGATTAAGAAAGCTCCTTTTCAATCTCTAATGATAAATGGTGTGTGATTGCTACTGGAAGCTGCATTCTTTGTAGAGAAAGCTAATTGTTTTTTTGTATTTGGATAGGTAGCTGCTCTGCTCTGCTCTGCTTATTGTTATGGTTGGTTTTGTAAATCTTTGTGATGTGAGAAATGAAGTTTGTGATACTTATAAGATATGAGCTAAATCTTTTGGTAAATCTCAGTGCTTTCTCCGTTCTTTGTTTATTTTGAGATTTGAACACACACAACATCCTTAAATCTAATCAGCATTGTTATTGACTTGTAGGTACATTTGAGATTTTAAACGATACTAGGTAATTAATTACCCGTGCTATGCTGTGGACTGAATTAATACAGACTGACTTTTACTTGTAAATTTATTAATAATAAATTTATAAATTGTTTATTTAAAATAATCAATATTTTAATTATAGCGTTAAAATAAAAAAAAATATTTGAAATTACTAAATCTTTGAAGATATTTTAATAAAGCATTTTATATTTTAAATATGTAAATGATTTATAATGTTCAAACTGAGGCTGGTGACGAAATATGTGATGGTTACTTCATCTACAAGGAAATATTATGTTTCATTGATTGTATGAATTTTGTGCAAGGCATTTACCTCTTTGTGAACCCAAACCATATTAGCCAAGAACTTCTTATCTTCAAATGCCAAAAACGATGTGACAAGTTCCTCTAATGAACTACATAAGAACTTCTTTTGTTTCTCCATTACCGAAAGCACATCTTTGAGCTTTAGAGCTCGGAAGTTAAAAAATGTCTAATACGCTGCACATTAAAATAATTCAAATGAAAAAGTAGCATTAATCCCAATCAGTGAATATTTAGTCTTTTACTTCCTTTTAGATGAAAATCCCCAAGAACAACATCCACAACATTGATGGTTTTGTATAGTGCATCATATTTTTGTTAGGCCAAATTTATACCAACTTTGGATTACCTTTCTCTCATGCTAAAAAGACAGATTACCAATACCAAAAACTGTAAAAGAATGCAGTTCCCACCATTGGAAAAATTAAAATCATCCACAAAAAAATCAATAAGGATTACCTATGAAGAACCAGCAACTTTTGTTTTCATTCAAATCCACAATGAGCTCTTTAATTTGGAAGGACAGTGGTCAAACCGTGGAGAGAATTTTCTTGCCATCATAGGCATGAACCTTCTTTAACATGTATGCTTCTCCATAGGTGTATACCAAAGTTGTCATCACGTCCATGTTCACTTTCTTCGAAATAACCATTGAACTGACTGAAACCTTTAATCAAATATATCTGAAACCTGGATCTGGAGTTCTTTATGATCTCTTTATTACAGAAGAACTTCAGATTGATCGATCTAACTTCAGGGCAGAAGATCCAATCAGTACAGAAGAATCATATATATTATATGTTCATCAATTTTAAGAAATGACAAAATTTGTTACAGAGTCAAAAACGAATGTAGCTAGAGATGTTTAGAAATTGACAAATTGGTTACAGATTCAAAAACAAATGTACCAGTAACTTCTTCATGAGAGCTACGTTTCTAAAATTAACGGCGAGAAACAACACCATCGCGTCGGTTTTGAATTCCTCGTACTCCACTCTGACTTCGCTCGCAGATTCATCATGGAGCACGACCTCGCTCCTCCTCATGGATCTGGAGTTTTTTATGATCTCCAAGGAAGAGAGAAAGACATCAAATCAAAAGAGGGGAAAGGGTTAGTTTTCCGATCGCGAATCTAATTGTGTTACAAACAAAAAAAAGTTGGTAATGCACAAGACAAAAGTGACATGGAAAGAAAAATGTATTATGCCCTGCAGAAAACTTTGTGTTATTATTGTGTTGATTGGTGTCCTCGGTACGACATCTATTTGAAGTTTTGAGAGCATCCTTAATGTGACCTTGAAAAGCCCTTATAACATAGAAACTAGAACTTGTTTGATTTAACTATTACTAGATTTTGACCCGTGCTTTTTATTAGACACAAAGTGTCCCACATCGGAAGTTGGAAGGGATTCTTAGTGATATATAAGATAGATGGGCCAATCCACTTATCACCAATTGGTTTTAGGTTGGAAGCCCATCTACCTTAATATGGTATCAGAGCCCACGATCCACCCAGTCCAACCCGATCCATTATCGATCCAGCCCAAAGTCGGCCCATTGATCCTTGCCCGAACATTCCGAGATTGATGCCAGAGAGCCATCATCTCGAGGGGGCGTATTAGACACAAAGTGTCCCACATCGGAAGTTGGAAGGGATTCTTAGTGATATATAAGATAGATGGGCCAATCCACTTATCACCAATTGGTTTTAGTTTGGAAGCCCATCTACCTTAATACTTTTCAAGCGCGGAAATTTTTTATGATTAAAAATTTATATAATTGGGTTTTGTCTTAATTTAAAGAAATATTTTGATATAAAATCAGTTCACCAAAATTTGTGGTGATGATTGTTTTTCATTAGTTTTTAGTTTCAGTTTTTATTTTTAGATTTTGGTTTTTGGTTTTTAGTTTTTAAGTTTCTACTTTTCATTTTCAGTTTTTGGTTTGGGTTTTTATTTTTAAACCCGCTGAGTTAGTTTGAACTAATATTACCAACAAACAAATCTCAAATAATCGAACATCTAATTTAAAACTGAAAAGATGATAATAAATTTAAAAAAAAAAATTTGAAATAGTTTATTTTGTAAATAAACAAAGCAAACAAATATAACATGTGTTTTCAGCTTTTGGTTTTGGATTTTAGTTTTTAGATTTGGTTTTTGGTTTTGCTTTACATTTTTTTAATCAGTAAATTATTTAATAAAAATAAAACAATAAATTATTTAAAAGTTACCATTGAAATTTATCAAAACAAAGTGATTGTTATTTAAAATAAAAAATATATGAAAATGTTTTAAAGTACATGATTTAAATAAATGATTAATAATAGATAATTTTGTTTTGTTAAAAATATTAAATACCTTTTGGGTCTGAAAATAATAATTGATTTTTTGATCTTTTAAGGTGAAAAGTTATTCAATGTTTTTGAAGTTTTTTTCTTAATACTAAGCCCAAAAACCAAACTATATAATTTGTTCAGAAAATAAAAGTAAGCCCAAGACTATATTCCATAAATAACCACTGGTTTAATTTAGGTATAATTAGTAGATTTCCATATTCTATATTTTGATGATATATATTCTTTTAGAACATTCCATATTTGTAGGAGAAAATATGTGTTTTCGGTATACACATAGATACCTGCCGTATTAAGGTCGTCTCTTTACATTAATTGTGTTGGTTTAATTTAAGTAATATGGTTCAATCAATTATATGATTTATATTATTTGTAATATTTTAGAAATGGTCCAAATTTAAATGACAACTTGTATCAGTAAATAAAAAGAATGACTCTATTTTAATAGAGTAGATATACATTAACTACGTCAGGGTTCCAAAAAATAAATACATTAACTAAATTATGATCGACACTGAATGAACATTATATATACATATTTTACATATTACTAGAAACTTTTTTCGGCTACGCCTGAGTTTTTTGCATATATTAAATAAATTTAAATGTACTTTTTGTATATATCTCCTGTATATTAATCCTGGAGCATTACAATATTTTTGTAGTAGTCACGTATCATCATGAGAATTATTTTCAGAATTGTTTAAAAAATAGCACATATACTATTTTTTTATATTAAATTAACTAATAAATTAATTAGTAATTTACAAAAGAATATTGGAGAATTTTCCAAAACTAACCCACAACTTAATTTTAACCCTAAACCTATACCTAAACTTGAATCAAATGCAAAACTAACCTAAAAGCCTTGTGAAATTACAACCCAGGCTCTTGTGACCAAACAAAAAACTAGAAGGAATTTTTACGAATATAGCCTCAGTAAGTCGTTTGAGATTTTGGAAGTCGTCTGGACGACTGAAATATAGGTTGTCTGATACCAGTTTATCTTAAAAATAATTTATAAATTTGGTAAAAAATATTTTGATGAGTGAAAAATAAAAATCATATAATTATAAACAGTTTTAAGTATTATAATTAAGATATGATAAAATTGATTTGTTTTTAAGATAGATGAGTGGAAGTAGTGAATCATGATATTCTTTGGTTTAGGGGTTTGGCAAACATATGTTGTAGTATTGTATTTATTCTTAGGGTTAGAAATTGGTAAGCTGAAATGTTTTTTTTTTTAAAAGTAAATTTCACATATATGTGTTTATTTCTGTGAATAGTAAACACTTTCAAGTTTAATTTGATTTTATGAAGTGTTAATTAGATAATCAAGTTTAGGGATTATGTTTAGGGTATGGACGACTAAAATATCAGTCGTCTGGTAAATAATTTTACCCAGATGACTTACAAGTAAGTCGTCCTAATATTCCCGCCTAAAATTTAATAAAATTTTATTTTGCCGCTTGAATAATTTAAACCAGACAACTTACTTGTAAGTCTTCTGGACGACTTACTTGTAAGTCGTCTACAAGGTCTTCTATTCTAGTTTCCCGCTAGAATATTTTAGTTTCCCACTAAAATTATTAAAGTCTCCTGGACGACTTACATTTCAGTCGTCTGAATCGTAAATATTTAACCTATTTGATTTTTTTTGTCTACCTATATAAAGAAAAATTTACACATTCTCTCTCCTCCTCTCTAATGTCTGCAACACAAATGTAATGTTCATATTTCTAGAACTCTCCAACCTCTCTATAATCTTTTTGAACTTATAAACACCAAACTTTATATCAATTTATTGTTTTTGTCTCATGTCTTTCTCACTAATTTATCTTGTTTTTGTAGGTTTTTCATCGCATGATTCTCATATTCCACTCATTTAAAGATAGATCTATTAATTTTAGATATGAATTTTTGTATGTTTTATAAATGTAGATTTATATAATCTTCCACTCATTTTCTCTATTTTTGAGCCATTTAAACGTTTTTGGATGTGCAAGGTTTTCAAATCTGGATTTGGATATGCAGGTTTTTCAGATCTAGA